TGCCTAAAGACCTGCATAGACACCTTCCTTCTGCAGGGACCAGCACCAGTACAGGGACACCACTTTCTCTGGCAACTGCAAGGCTTCTGAGACGCTCCCAGGAGCCGCTTTATTGATGAACAGTCTGCAGTTGGGTGCAGAAAGGCTTGAAAGGCCACTGGGATCCAGACAAGTCGTCCTCCTCCCACACGGCCTGGATAGAAGTCCTCAGAGCCGCGTCTCTGGCACAGCAGAGGCAGAGTCGTGATACGCAGACCCGGGACTGCAGCTTCCTCCCAAAGAAATGATTCACAGGGAGGAGAGAAAGCTCAGGACAGAGGAAACCGCTTCTCTGCTGGGAAAGGAAACTGTAAGCGAGGATGAAACTGGAGAAGCTTTTGCTGGCTATCCTCCCAACTAGCCCTTCCGTCTCGGTCGCTAGACAAGTTCACGGACACCCCAAGTCACCCAAGTGTCGGGAAGGTTTCTCCCCTCTGAGATAAGCATCCGGCACTGAGCAAGTGCTAGCCGAGTGCCGCTGCAGGAATTTTCTACTTAAGGAAGAATGTGCAGCAAAGCAAGAGGGGAGTGAAGCCAAGGAAACGCCATGTGCCCTCTCCAATTCACCCATCTGATTTGCGCGTGTAATTCTTTCCCAGCGTTACCAGTCTTAAATAAAAACGGCACAGTTTACCAGCCTTCCTGGCGGGAGTCCTACGATGCTCACTTGCTGGTCTGCAGAGATGCTGAGACAAAAGCTGTGGTCTCGCTAACGTGGCACCCTGGGCTGCCGGTGTCAGTTAGGCCGCGCCTCCCCTTGCGCTTAATTCAGCCACAGGCCAGCCAGACAGAGAGAGACAGAGAGAGAGAGAGAGAGAGAGAGAGAGGATAGATAGGTATAGATAGATCGATGATAGATAGATAGATAGATAGATAGATAGATAGATAGATGATAAATATATAGGTGATAAATAGGTAGATAGATGATTGATAAATATATAGATAAATAGATGACAGAGATAGATATAGATAATAGAAAGATAGATATAGATATATATATAGACAGATGATAGATAAGTAGATGATAGATAGAGATAGATAGAGATGATAGATGACAGATAGATGCTAGATATAGATGATAGATAGATATAGATAGGTGATGGATAGATAATAGATGATAGATGATAAATATAGATAGATGCTAGATATAGATGATAGATAGATATAGATAAGCAGATTGATAAGTGATAGATAGATGATAGATGATAAATATAGATAGATGCTAGATATAGATGATAGATACAGATGATATAGATAGAGGATGGATAGATAGATAGAGGATGGATGGATAGATAGATAGATAGATAGATAGAGATTTTAAGAGGTTTATGCCTTAGGGCACGTGTGCTTGCCAGAGAGAGGCAGAGACAGCGAGAAGGAAAGTGAGAAATCACCTCCCAGGGGAGATGGCTGCAGTCCCTTCTCCTCCATCTCCTCCTGGGATCTCGGGCATGCACACACACACACGCCTGGCATGAGTTCCAAGCCACCGGGTCTGATACTTGAGTCACAGTTGGCCAAGTGGGAGTCCAGCGATGTAACCACTATGCCATCTGTTGACCCCAAGCCAACCGTATTTGTCCCAAAATGTATTCCAGCTTTCATAAGCCTAATCTACTCAACTCAACTGATGCGACTTGAACAACTGGTCCTCTGGAAGACTGGTATTTGTCATTCCCTTAAGCCACACCTCCTCGGGGAGATACAGTCAGATCTGTCCTGTCCTCACATTTCCACTAGAAAGCCCACGGGCAAACATGGCCTTCAGTTGAGAGATTTAAAGCAAAATCAGCTTATTTCTAGATTTTAAAAAGTTTTCAGTATTCAACCAACTCAAGTTCTTATTTTTGTTTTTCGGGTTTTTTGTTTTGTTTTGTTTTGAGAGAGATTTTTGTTATAGGAAGCATGTGCTTGCTGGAGAGACAGGAAACAGAACTGAGGACTCTCTCCCTGGGAACAGCCATGCTGCAATCCCTTCTCCGTTCTTCTTCCAGGACTCTGGGGACACACACACGCCTGGTGTGAGTTTTGAGCTGCCAGGTCCAGGACTTGAACTGCGGTTGACCACATAGGAGTCCAGTAATGTAACCATTACGCCATCTGCTGGTCTGAGAATGGGCTTCAAGGAAGAGCAGGTGTCATGAGCCAGCCTAGGACGCAGGCCCTCAAGCTTTATTTATAAGCTTGGCATGTTTTAACAATTGTCTAGTCCCATTTTTAAGAGATGGGGGCCAGTAGGTATCATAGTGGTTAAGGTGCTGCACTACCACATAGGCAACTGTGGTTCAAGTCCCAGACCAGGCAGTTTGAAATTCATGCTTGGTGTGAGGGCATGATCGCATTCACAATTACAGAATAATAATTACAGCAATCTGAAGTTTCCTTTTACTGGAGAAAAACGCCAAGTTTGAAATGTGAGAAGTCACTTGCGCTCACAGCGGAAGCAGGGCCTGAGAGGCGGGCGAGGACAGTGCCCACTGCGAGCTGGGCATTTCCAGCACAAGGGCAGACCGCTGGCCAGCCCCAGAGCGAGCTCCGGCCCTCCCGCAGGCATCCTGGGCTGGTTCTCTCCCTGCTCTTTCCTTGTAATTCCATCTCTGGTTTTACAAGAAATAAAAAGGATGCGAGCTTGTTTACCTTGTCAGGAAAGCGTAGGAGCAGACGGGCCAGCCAGCCTTGACCCGCAGCCTTGCAAGCAAATGTCTTTCTTCATGAAGTGTCTAGTGTAAGGGATGGCTGGAACAATAAAAGCAGCAGGAGTAACTATTTCTGCCCCGCTTTGTTGAGCCGTGAAAAGAATTTTACGAAGTGAAACCGTGGACCCCAGCCCTAGGACACACACGAGCGAACTGAGGCCGTGCTGACCACACCGCCCACTGTATCTGCACCTGCCCGGCCTCCGACTCGGCCATGAGACCGCATGGCTCCCGGACAGCGGCATCGCGGTGCAGCCTGGCACGCTGGCACACCTTCAGCAGCGAAGGACATGGCCGCGTCCCTCCCCTGCAGCCATCGTGTCTGCCGGCAGCACACGGCCCCCAGGGCAGTGGCACTAGGTCCCGTCAAGCCCCTCAGGCCGCCCTGGGCTGCGCGCACTGGAACAGGGACAGCCACGCTCCTGCCGGCGGTCGGCTTCCACAGACCTGGTCCCTTCTTACAAACACTCAAGTCTTGGCTCTTTAAAAGGAGCCAAATAGCTTTCGGGTTTATTACGTCATCCAGTTTTTTATTTATTTTTAAAGTCTGGCTTGATTTTCTTTGAAAACAGCCTTTTGTGTCACGTTTTGAATATGTTTTTCTTCCACACAGCTGACTCCACAGCCTTTCAGATCGCGCTGTCAGCTGAGGGGACTCTTTTCTTCCTCTTCAGTAAAAATAGATGTTTTCCGATTGGAGCTCGTGGGTGTGTCTCTGCTGTTTCAGACACTGGCCTCTCAGTGGGGATCTTTGCTCTCCCTTAAGAACTGCTTTAGGAAGAGCTTCTGATCCTGGGGGCGGCTGACCCTCATGTGCCACTTGTGACCTCGAGGCAGGGTCTGCGGAAATGGCTGGCGAGAGAGGGTGGGCATCGCAGTCTGGCGGTGTGGGCACGCAGGGTGGTAGCTCAGGTGTGCACATGGACATGAGGACTAGGGAGCCCTGACCTCCTCTTAGTGCAGCTACCCCCAGCGCGAGGTGCCCCGATGGGACACAGGAATCTACTGGGCCCAGGCCCATGTTCTGTCAGGTGAGGCAATGAGAGAGAGCCTCCCTGCTCTGCAATGGCAACATTGAGTCCTATCTCCTGAATCTGGTTTTTAAGTTTATTTCTCCCATGAGCAAGAGCAACAGAGAGTCAGAGACAGAGACAAAGAGAGCCAGCACCCAGTAGGGTCTTGATGCTGCCATCCCCCCAGGCTAAGGCAGCAAGGATCACAGGCTGGCATGGGCCTGGTGTTCCCGGGGAGGTCTCCAGATGCAGACCTGGGCCCCCCCCCCTCAGTCGGCTGTACCGAGTGGTGGCTTGCCTGCACTGCCATCCAGCCCCCAGCTCGTAAATTTCACACAAGGAGAAGCTCCACCTCTGGTTTTCTGAGGCTGTACCCGACACTGCCAGAATTGTAGTCTCCATCATCTACCCCATCCCTCCACCCAATTTTGTCTTTATTAAGTTCTCTCAATAATTAATAAAGCTAGAAAGGCAAAGCTACTTCTAGCAAGAGTCAAAATAGCCCCTCTTCATGATTGTGGCTAAGCTGGTATGGCCCCAATTAATCAACATTGGCAAAGAACTGCCCACGGGCTCTCTGTTGTCAGCATTTGTACGTTGACTGTCATTCATGGCTCCTTCACTCGTCAGGTTTTCTGACATGTGCGTTGGGTATAAAAATCTGAACAAAACAGACCAAATCCCTGTCTAGTTTCCATTTTTATTGGAGGAGATAAGCAATTAAATATAAGCACTAGAGCGTATGCCACATAATGGTCAGGGAAGGTGGACCTGGAGCAGCAAGCAGGGGGGAATTTTGAGGGACAGTAGTCAGGGAGGTCCTCACAGGAAGGTAATATGCACAAAGACTTCAAGACAGCAAGACAACTTGATCATGGGCTGTCTGAGCAAAATGCCCTCCAGGCTGGAATCTCAAATGTGAAGTACAAAGGGGGAGTACACCTGGCAAGTACTGGGAAGGCGCCTGGTGCACGTGGGGGGTGGGCAGGGAGAGGTACCTGGCAGGTGCCGGGGGTAGCACACCCAGCAAGGACCAGGAACAGGTAGACTTCGTGGTGAGACTAGAAACATGGGGAAGACATGCTTACAAGAAACAGATTGTCTTCCAATACTACATATTAAAAATATCTTTTGTCTTTTAAAACATAGCATATTAAAGGTATTTTCAGCATTATTACAGTCAGCGTAGTACTTCATTATCATGGTAGGCCTTGTTCTGAGATGAAATCACTTAAGAAAATGACCAGAAGACTACAGGAGGAGGCAGACAGGACCGGTTGGTCGAGTCTGAGTTTATTATGGCAATGTAGGGACAGGAGTAAGGTCTTGGGTGGCTTCAGACGGCTAGGTCTCCCTGATCTTCACCCCAGGCAGAGGCTGCTGCTGTCAGTACAGGAGAGCGGTGTATACCGAAGGAAGGGAGGCATCGGAGGAAGGCATGGCGCAGTCTGTGCTGTACCACGTTTTAACTGTGGTCAGGACGTGCACTCCATGGGCAGGCACAATTATCTTTACTATACTGGCCAAAGCTGCATTCCAGCCTCGGAAATTCAGCTGGGAACTGTGGGGTTAAATGTCGGTCACCATGGCCAATTAGCTTCAAGATGGACTCACTTTGGTTCCTTGCAAACCTTGGTTTCCAGAATCCTTCTCCACAGGTGAATACTGTTGCTTCCATAAGCACCTCTGTAGAGGAAGTTTGCTCTGTTCTTGGGACAGACTCCCAGCGTGGGCCTTCTAGGTAAGTGAGTGAAAACCTTCTCATACATCTTCTGTACAATAATAAAATATATTCTTAATGCAGAGTTCATCTTACCAATAGGGAAAATGAGCTTTGCTTCTGTGGATGATTTTAAAAACGGTCTGAAAGATCCTCCAGCTCAAGCATAGCTTCCATTTGGCCCACTGTTATTAAAAACAGATAGGAGAGTATTCCAGGATTAACTTGCTGACCTAAATTAATTAATATGTCATGTTCCTGACTAGGAAGCTAAAAGATTTAAATGTATATTTTCTACCAAAACAGACTTTAATTTTATTGTGACAAAATCCAATTGTGATTCATAACTTAAGAAATTAAACAAACATTTAAAACTAAACAAAAATAAGAAGAACATGCCTGCGATGTGAGACCCAGTAGGCTGCTAAGGCACACTCCCCAGAGCCGCGTAGTGCTGGGGCGAAAGCAGCTCAGGGCTCAGAGGGAGAGACGAGCTCGGCCAGCGAGCACGGGGAACGCAGGCAGCCTCGACCCCGGCAGAGATGCTGCGCTCATCCCAGCGTGCTAGATTGACGACTGCTGGGGGAAACTGGCCATGTTGGGAATTCTTTTGGAAAAAAATTAGTTTAAAGTCTTCTCGAATACACAAAATAAAACCTTTATCATAAAAATACAGAATCGTAACAAGAAAACATAAGCAAATAATCAGCTGACTCAGGTAACTTTGGAATTGCTTGAAATAACTTCGGAAACATAAAAAAATGGAATAAATTTTAAAGGAGTAGATTCATAGATGTGCCTTACAAAAAATGTAATTAGGGCCAGCCAATGGCATGGTGGTTACAGGAACCTGATCCCAAATGGCTGATTGCATGGTTTGAGTCCTGGGCCCAGCAGCTTGAAAATCACACCAGGTGAGTGTGCGTGCATGCCCCAAATCCCAAGACGAACATGGAGAAGGAAGTGTGGTGCTCATCTCCCTTGGAGGGTGCTTTCTCATTTCCCTCCCTCTCTGTCTCTCTCTCTAGCACACACACATGCCCTATAGCAAAAAATAACTTTAAAAAAAATCCTAGAGTGGGACCAGCAGTTAGCGTAATGGCTATGTTGCTGGGCTCCCACGTAGTCAACCATGGTTCGAATCCTGGATCCGGTGACTTAAACTCAAGTCAGGCGAGTGTGCATGCGTGTGCGTGCCCAAGATCCCTAGAGGAGAATGGAGGAGAAGAGGGATCGCGGCCTGGCCACCCCCCCTAGAGGGGTGATTTCTCACTTTCTGTCTCTCTGTCTTCCTGGTGAGCGCATGCGCCCTGTAGCAAAAAACTTCTCCAAAAAAAAAAGGTTTGCCACACTTGCTTGGTAAACACTTCTGCGATATGAGAAGACAGACGGACAAACCGTCTTCCCTAGCATGAGTGTATTTGTGAAGTCTCCCCTTTCCATTTCGCTTAAGAACGAAAGTATCAACCTTTTCCCCTACTTGGGGAGAGGGAAGCTTTTTAAAAACATAAAGTCTAAGTGTTATCTGCATATTTCATTATGTGTCTGTAACACTTTGGATGTTTTCTACTACATTTTAATGACCATCTGTCCAAAAATTATTTTCAAAATTTGAGAAATTAGTAATTGGGTAAACTATGGGCCTGTTTGTGCTCATATTAGTGGCTGTGATCTGTCACTATCTGAGCTAGTCGTCCTGTGAGAAGAGGGGAACTGCAGGCCAGGAAGCTGCATTCCAGACGGGCAGCTCGGGAGGGCCAAGAGAAATGTAAAAGTGGGAGACAGGAATGCACATTCCTGGGCTGGCCCTGTAGCCTAGTGGTTAAGGGAGCTGGATCCCACATGGCTGACCACAGTTCAAATCCCAGCCCCAGAGTCTTGAAAACTATGCTGGGCATGTGCATGTGCCCCAAAACTGACAAGAGGGACAAGTGGAGGAGAAGGGATGGTGGCCTGCTCATGCCCCACTGGGAGTGTCTTACAAAAAATGTAATTAGGGCCAGCCAATGGCATGGTGGTTACAGGAACCTGATCCCAAATGGCTGATTGCATGGTTTGAGTCCTGGGCCCAGCAGCTTGAAAATCACACCAGGTGAGTGTGCGTGCATGCCCCAAATCCCAAGACGAACATGGAGAAGGAAGTGTGGTGCTCATCTCCCTTGGAGGGTGCTTTCTCATTTCCCTCCCTCTCTGTCTCTCTCTCTAGCACACACACATGCCCTATAGCAAAAAATAACTTTAAAAAAAATCCTAGAGTGGGACCAGCAGTTAGCGTAATGGCTATGTTGCTGGGCTCCCACGTAGTCAACCATGGTTCGAATCCTGGATCCGGTGACTTAAACTCAAGTCAGGCGAGTGTGCATGCGTGTGCGTGCCCAAGATCCCTAGAGGAGAATGGAGGAGAAGAGGGATCGCGGCCTGGCCACCCCCCCTAGAGGGGTGATTTCTCACTTTCTGTCTCTCTGTCTTCCTGGTGAGCGCATGCGCCCTGTAGCAAAAAACTTCTCCAAAAAAAAAAGGTTTGCCACACTTGCTTGGTAAACACTTCTGCGATATGAGAAGACAGACGGACAAACCGTCTTCCCTAGCATGAGTGTATTTGTGAAGTCTCCCCTTTCCATTTCGCTTAAGAACGAAAGTATCAACCTTTTCCCCTACTTGGGGAGAGGGAAGCTTTTTAAAAACATAAAGTCTAAGTGTTATCTGCATATTTCATTATGTGTCTGTAACACTTTGGATGTTTTCTACTACATTTTAATGACCATCTGTCCAAAAATTATTTTCAAAATTTGAGAAATTAGTAATTGGGTAAACTATGGGCCTGTTTGTGCTCATATTAGTGGCTGTGATCTGTCACTATCTGAGCTAGTCGTCCTGTGAGAAGAGGGGAACTGCAGGCCAGGAAGCTGCATTCCAGACGGGCAGCTCGGGAGGGCCAAGAGAAATGTAAAAGTGGGAGACAGGAATGCACATTCCTGGGCTGGCCCTGTAGCCTAGTGGTTAAGGGAGCTGGATCCCACATGGCTGACCACAGTTCAAATCCCAGCCCCAGAGTCTTGAAAACTATGCTGGGCATGTGCATGTGCCCCAAAACGGACAAGAGGGACAAGTGGAGGAGAAGGGATGGTGGCCTGCTCATGCCCCACTGGGAGTGTCCTCTCTCTCTGTCTCTCTCTCTCTCTCAGAACGTATACACCCTCTGGCCATTACAGAAAAAAAAAAAAAGGAAAATGCACATTATTGTGTAGCCTTGGGAAAATGTTCAAGAGGGTTTTTAAAAATAATAATAAGAAGAAACAGAAAACAACTAGGCCCCACTGAGCCAGCTCAGAGCAGGGCAGGGAGAGGGAGCAGCAGAGACTCACAAGTAGAAGTCAGGGTGCTGGGACGCCAGTGCTCCCGGAGCAGACGCCACCAGCCACAGGGAAAGCGCCCAGCCGGCTGCAGAAAGAACCTGGGCAGAGAGCGAGGACCCAAAGACCCGGCTCTGGCTGCACTGCTTCCTGCTCAGGGCCCTGGGTGGTGGGTCCCTTCTCTGAGCATCGGCTCCTTCTGTAGAAGTGAGGGTTACTGCTATAACCAACAACGACAGACACACGTGTCTAAACACCATGGCTCCGCGGTGATGGGTGAGAACCCTCAGGTCCGGGGCTGGCAGTACCCCTACTTAAACCACGAGCAGCAAAGCCTGAGGAATGGCATAAGCCCAGATCCCGGCAGGAAGGCCGCGGCCAGGGCGGGAGCCGGGAGCCTCCCGGAAGCTGAGTGACAGGGCACCGGGATCAGGGGCGCCATCGTAGAACACGTCACCAGAAAGTCACATGCACAGGCAGGGCCCGTGTGAGGAGATGAGGTGGTTAGGCCGTTAGGGTGGGGCCCCAGGGTTGGGAGCACGGCCGACAGACACCAGGACACAGCCACACTCCGGGGGACTCGTGATGTGGAAATAAAATACCCCACATGAAAAAGACACTGAATGGCGCTGAGAGCAGATTAAACTACAGAAGAAATGATCTCCGAACTTGGAAGACAGAGCCACGAAAACTCCCTAGTGAAACAAGGGGAAAATGTCTGAGCAACAGTGGGACCCGCAGGTGGCACCGTGTGGAGGAACTGGGTCCCACGGGTCACTGCACAGGAGGAGCCCTGGGCCCATGTGCGTGCGCACACTCCCGAGAGGGCGGGAAGAAGGACTCGTGGCCTGGCCACCTCCGCAGGATCTCTTTCGGTCTCTCTCCAGTGAGTGCATGTGCCCTATGACACACACACCCACGCACGAGCACACACACACACAGGCAAAAACGTGGTCTATGAGGCAGTATCAAGTGGTGTGAGGAAAGTGTAAGTGGAAACATGGAAGGAGCGAGAGGGAGAGATACAGGAAGATACTTGAAGAAATATGACTAAAATTTTTTCAGATTTGATGAGACAGAGAAAAGCAGAAGTGAGGAATCACCCCTAGGGGCGAGGCACCCCCAGTCTCCTGGACCTCGGGCATGCACATACAAGTGCCACATTATTTTCATGCTGCCAGGTCCGGTCTCTAACCGTGTTCGGCCATCTGGGAATCCAGCGTCTTTTTTTTTCTTTTTTTTTTTGGGGTGGGGAGAGCTATTTGCTATAGGGTGCGTGCGCTCGCCAGACAGACAGACAGAGACAGAGAGACAGAAAGTGAGAAATCAACCCCCAGGGGGGATGGCCACGCCGCAATCCCTCCTCCTCCATTCTCCTCTCAGGATCATGGGCACGCACGCACACGCGCCCGGCGTGAGTTTTAAGCCACCAGGTCCAGGACATGAACCGCGGTCGACTACATGGGAGTCCAGCGACATAGCCATTATGCTAACTGCTGGTTCCCAGAGAATCCAGCATCGTAACCACCATGTCACCTGCTGGCCCCTTTAACACTGTAAATCAATCACCATATTAACAGACAAGAAGATGAAAAATTCATTTCAGATCCATTTAGGCGCCAACCCATGGCACAGTGGTTAACAGAAAATAAGAGAAAAACAGTGTGATTGTTTGGTTAGGTGCTGAAAAAGCACTTGCCAAAGTTTAATGCTCATTCATGATTAAAAAAAAAAACAGCTCTCAGAAAACCTGACATGGATGTGAACTCCCTCAGTCTGACAAAAGGCACCTGAGAGATTTACCGTTACTGTCATCCTTAGTGGTTGTGGCA